CTCTCTCTCTCTTCTCTCTCTCTCTCTCTCTCTCTCTCTCTCTCTCTCTCTCTCTCTCTCTCTCGATAATTACAGCTTTCACTCGCACAATTTGCACGCCTCTTCGTGTCCAAACTCATAAGTCCGATCGCAGAATGCGGAAAACAAATTATTTAAGTGTTAAAAGTATCGTTAAAGATGTAGTAAATAAAGAAAGAGAAGTAATTTACAGTTTTCTTACCAACAACGCAATAATTTATTATCAATCGCAAATTTTAAATCATTATATATCCGTTATTTGCGCCGAAGACGTAGATTATGTCATAATGCAATTGTATGACTGTAATCTAAGTTTCTAATTTAATTATGCAATTGTAATTTCCGTCATTCGTCGGTCGGACCACGCGCTCGTGCAAACCACGCAAATAAAAAATAAAAAAAAAGAGGAAAAAAAACGTAACGCGGGGAGGAATTATCGCTGCTCCTCTTCGCGGTGGCATCAATCACTTCGGGTTTTCTGCTCGACGAATTCGCGATTGATCCACGAGGACAAAGCGGCGGAATCCGAATCGCGCACGTGTGTGTCTTTAGTCAGTCAAAAACGAAAAAAAAAAAAAAAACGCAAGAACTTTCGCTCGCGCTGGCAGTGTTTTTATCATCCCCTTCAAAGCGACGGCTCGCACAGAGAATCTCGAGTACGTATTTAATGCACGCGTGCTCTTGGACATACCGATCGATACATAAATAGATAGAAAATCGGAGAGAATCTCCGATGACTATGCAAAATTACAATATAGTCATATCGCTTTATTGTAATTGTGCTTGAAATTTCATATATTTACTAGCAACCGAGATGTCACTTTGAGACGCGATAGCGAAAATTCGCTTCGTTTCGACTCGTCGCTACGTTTTTTTTTTTTTTTTTGCGATAACGAGTCGCGTTGTAATGAGCGAGCGAGTAATCGTGTAAGACGATTTCTGGGTGACGCGCAGAGAGGAGGGAGATTATACAAGCACGCGTTAAAAAGCGATGATTTATAGCTTCGACTTCGTTGAAACAATAAACGGTGAAGTATGTAGAGGCTTCCCCCTCGGTACAGGGAGATGAGAGTTTGATAACTAACGTAACGTTGTTGGCCCAGGGAAACTTCCTCCTGAGCGACAAATGAGATTTGCTCGAGCGAGAGAGACGACTCGAGGCGGAGAAATATCAAGCCTCGATTAACACGCGATGTAATTATTATGTAAAGTTGTCGCTGAGTGCGTAAAAAGGTCTCCCCCTTCGAGGAAACAACCCAATCTTCACGATTAATAATATTAAACTAGTCAGCGTTCTTTCAAAATGTTTGAGAAGATAGAGCGTGCAATACGTGTTTTAATGCACGGAGATGCTTCAAACGACAGTGTTGCGAAATTGATCGGTAAAAAGCATTCGACAGTAAGATTATCTCCATCATGGATGTTTTATCTTCGATTTTGTAAATAGTTAAAACTAAATAGCAAGTATAAATTCAAATGTCTCACAGTTCTCGCGAAATCCGCGGTATTTCGCGGTTTAATCTCTGTATCGTGGTATTAATTATTTTTGTTGCTGCTGCTGTTACACGATCTGACTACTAATGGTCGGAATGAATCTAAGATTGAGTCTACAAATAATCCAGAAATGTTCGATGCGCTTTAACAGGGAATACGATATCAATTTTCGTCGATCTCGGTGAGTCTGAACGATGAGATCTTACGAAAAATCGTTTCGAGAGAATATATATGTGGGCTGAACCTCGAGGACGAACCTACCAAACAAGAATCGCTTTCACGCGGAGTCAACATCGCAATTAAATGATTTATGTTTGGCTCTGGAGCCTATATATCCGACAATTTCTCCGCGAGAGTCTGCGAACTTATGTACATGAGAACAAGAACAGAGAGAAACTATTTCGCGGGAATCTTCTGCGTAGAGATATCAAAACTACACTACGTGAAACGTCAGATCATATATATAGAATTATTCTTGAGCGATCAAGCGAGGTATCATTGAAGTTGGATCAAAGACAACCGTTATTATTTATAAGACGCTCGAGAATCTGAAAGAGTCATTGTCACCTCGCTTTACTCTTACACATAGTTTCTTTCAAACATAATTTTCCAAAACTGAGGCATATTATATGGGATGACAGTGGAATCAATCCCTATTTATCACAAAGGGAGATTATGAGAGAGTGAATTACGCCACACGTCACCCTAAATTTTTTGAAGCAACGATAAATTCATTCAGTGACGCTATAATCCAAGTCGCGGATCGTGGCCCTTCTTAAAAAATAATCAGACCTTGACTTCTCTCAGTATATCGTAAAATTACATACTGACACTTCGAGGATTTCAGTATATAATTTTTTTTTTTACCAGACTGGTTTACCGCCCATTGTCGAAACCCCATCCTTCAATAATACGGCGGCCCCTTAATCGCTTCGTCTTTCCCGATTTTGAAGTGACAATATCGAATTGGCCGGAACTTTTGTTGTAAAACGCGGATAACGACGCGAGAACGATTCGAATTCTTTCAAAACAGTTAATTTCTTCACGATGCCGATTTGACACTCCCCACCCTGTGCGAAAGAAAATAAAGAGGTTCGACGCGATAAACGGAATATATGCGGCTATACATACACGTCTCCGGAGGTACGTCGCTTTGTCCTCGTCCTTCACTCGTCGGGCGGACTTACTTCGTCCCGAGTGTGGATCGCTGCGATTTCAGGACTCGACTATACGATTATACAACATAATAACAATTAGCAATAGCAGCAGCAGTAGTAGTTGTAAACGGTAATAGTCGTAGTAGTAATAGTAATAATATGATAGTATTAATAGTAGTAGTACCCTATGAAGAAAAAAAAAGAAAAAAGATACATAGAAAAACACGGTGTCGGTATAATATATCTATACGCATAACTTTTTATCACGTTTTCTCGTTTTCTCCACTCTTCTTCATATGCAACGTGCCCTGTACACGATATATATCGTGCAAGACGTCAGGAAGAGAACCGAAGCGAGGGGGAGGGTAGTGGTGGACAAGAGAGGTCGAGGAGACGATGCAGACGGGAACGGGTGGACTTTGCTGAATTTCCTACAACTCGGTAACACGAACGCTTCAAGTCCCTTCGTCACGACCCCCGTACTCGCGTCCCCTTCTGTTCGCATGCGCCTACGTAACTGTTTTGACGACCAACGTGAGTGAAACGAGGTCGCAGACGCGATCTTCGTAGACGAGGACGCGTTACTTAACGGGATACGAGTACGGGAGCTGGTCAGAGTAAATGCGACGCGCCTTTTCCTTCATTCGAGCACGCCTGCACGCACGCACGCACGCACGCGTGTACCTTCACTCGCTTCCCGATCCATCATCCCTCTTCCTCTTACGCGCGCAAAAATTCGCACACAATCGACGTACAAGCACACACAGACACAGACACATGCATACAGCTGTTACAAACACGGGACATACACACGTCAGTAAGAATGAAGCCTCGGCAATGCTCACCGACGTTCGCTTTCTTCATACATGTATATGTATACCGCGCGCCCCTCGTCTCTGTCTTGAGGTCGATTCGCCGGAGGAAATGAAAATGATGAGAAAACATATGTGGGGGGCCGGTGAGCAGAACCGAGCGCGCGGTGTTTCAAATCGCTCGCTCTTACGTTCTCGATTGATATTTGTTATACCGTACAAAAGGGAAGGGCACGAAGGGTTTGTTCGCGGAGCGCGAGGAGAGGTCACGTCGGTCATCAGACGGGCGAGTTCGGTTTCTCGTGTCCGTTTCCTGGGCTTCGGGGTTTCGGTGGTGCACCTATACAGGTCTCTCTCTCTCTCTCTTTCTTCTTTTTGGAACGCGCGATTACGGTAACGGTATCACGGTTGAACCGCGGCGATGTGTGTACGTATATGTGTGTGTGTATATATATGCGATTCACGTCACACGCGCGATACTCCACTTTGTACAGTACGCCCGATCGATGCCGATTAGATAGAAACGCTCCAATCGGAAACTCGCAATCGTGTTTTCTCTCTTCTTCCTCGTCTTATCATCTAAACACAACCGAACGGATTTGTTCCTAAAAAACTAGACGTACTCCCCGCCGCCTCCTCCTACTCCTCCTTGCGCGCCCATTGTACTACGTTCTGTATGATCGTTTTAACTAGAGCTTTTTATTTTTTTTTTTTTTTAGCGAAATGACGATTTTGATGTCCTACCGCCGTGCCACAAATCGACGCGAAATTGCTTCAGCGAGACCGAAAGAAAAGAGATCATACATCATATCGTCACCTCCGATAAAGTTCTCTCGGAAAATAACTCGTAAATTTTATGCTTTGCGACTCTTTCTCGTTATATTCTCTTGGAAAATATAACGAAACACAGATGATTCCCGGAAGTCTATTTCAGTTCTGGCTGAAGCAACAACACCTCGAGTTTGGAACACGAGTTTTATATATTATGTTTCAGTGATGTTTGAATACGCGAAATTTTAATTTCGCGGCTGGATTTATTGGCTTCCCCCTCGCTCCTCGCGATCGTACTTGATCCTCTCGACACACTAACATGGAGCTACATCTCGTTTGTATCTTTTGAAAACATCGTTTTTTTTTTAAATTTATTTTGTGCAAAAATTCGCGATAACTTTACACACGTCAGGTTTCTCGATTATCGATGCATCCGGTTTATGTACACGTTTGCGGACTTATACAAAAAAATATTCTACATTTATACAAACGTATTCGGCTCGCGTGAATAGAGCGGAACACGATAATATAGCGTGGAATCACATTAGACTCTCTCGTGACTGTCTCGTGTGAAAATCGAGAACGATAACCTCGTCAAGTCAATTTCATTAATAGACAATTACATAAATCACCGAGATCGACTTACGTAACATTAAACAAATTTTAAGCTTTTAGAAGTCACAGGATACACGTGAATTTACAAATAGAATAGAATATATGTACTATTACAGTTAAGAAAAATTTATATATAATATATATATATATATACACACATATATATATATATATATTTATATGACGTATACGGAACACTGCGATTCTTGGATACATCGTCGCAGTCTTCCGTTATAAACGCGCGCTCGTACTTCGTTACTATCTGTGAAAAGCCGCTTTACCTTTCGAAAACGATTTACAAATTATAATCACGAACCTCGACAAATATTTACTCGTAACCGGAGTACTTTATTCACTTGTTACATACGAATGCGGCATTCAAGTGGTTCGAATTCAGAGAAAGCAAAGCTGGCCACAGCTCGGATCACAGTTCGCGTTACGTGGTGGTAAAAAAAACTGTGAACGTTGTCCGAAGTACGCTCGTACTGTATATTATGTATATATTATGAACAACTGCGAGAATCCATCATCGAAACCGCGTACTGTACATTTACGATTCGTCACGGAAAAAAAGAAAAAAAAAGAGAGGAAACGATCGCGCTTCGTCATCCTGCGCGCAGAGGACGCAAAGGGGGTTCGGCGTTTATCCACCCCTCTCTCAACGTCGAGAGGGTTGTTTTCCAGACGGGATTCGCTCCGAGAATTGCACGAGAGAAATTCCAGCAGGGAGAGACCTACTGCCGAGTCTCCTGAGAATCGCACCGCAATGAGAGTCATCGCAATAAGAGGGCTGCTGCTTCGTCGCCAGTCACAAATTCTCCGTTTACTACAATTTACCGCAACGCTCTGTACTTCCGTTTTTCGTATATCGCTTACCGCGAGGACCAACGACCCGTTTCTCCCTTCCTATCCTTTCTCGTCTTCGTTTCGTCCACTCGGCATGGAATTGTTTCCGTCGCCACTTTCGCGGACCACCGTCGTCGTGGGCACCACCGTCGGCACGCGCCGGTCTTATCTTACTGACGATCCTCGCGACGTCTTCGTAACACGGAAAAGTCAGTCACCCTGTTTTCGCCAGACGGCCGTGCGATATCACGCGCGAATTCACTTCCGGCTCGCGGCGATGGGTGGGAAAGCATCGTTGCAGGGCAGCGGTGATCGCCGCCGATCGCCGCCTCTGACGAACGACGACGCCGCTGAATCTTACGATGACGAGGAGTCCGCTATTGATGCTGCTGCCGATTCACTTGTTGTGTTGCACGCTTGCCCGCCTGACCATCAGGGTAGGTGGGGCGATTGCCGTCGCATTGGCGCTTCCAAAACAAAAGACACACAAAACAGCGACATTAGCGCGCCACCCGTCTTCATCACATAAATGAGCTAAAGGTTTTCTCCTCTCTCACTTTTTTTTCTTTCCTATTTTCTCTTTTCCGGCGCTCCTTCTCTCGTTCGTTACATCTAGCCTCCCCCAATTTCGCCCCTACTCTCGGCTCCCCCTTTTCGTCTCGTCCGATTTCGTAAATTGTGAGATCGACTTCGGCATTTGCACGAGATAATGGTGTAAACTGAATAAAATTAATTAATTGTTCTTCATGATAAAATGCAATGCAGTTTTAGTGAGGATACAAATGTATAAATGTTAATGGCAAGTCTCTGAAGAAACAAACTTCATTAAAATATTCGTTGTTCTTCCTTCTCAGCATGTCGTTTTTTTTTTGCTCCGACATATATTAATCCTTTTTTTTTCGACACTATTTACGGTCGAGAGATATTATCGAATGAAGATGTGACGCAAGAATCACTTGTGGGTTCTCTTCGTTTCCCCGCTAAATTATACTAATACTCGCAAAGTTCTCTCGTTCGCTCGCGTTCAGGATTCTTAACGGCGTGAATAAGTTGATGATACCGACATGTGCTCGTGAGGAGGAATGAACTCTGAGAGAAGGCTCGCACGCGATGAAAGTTTTCCCCATGATCAGAGTTTTTCATGATCGGCGTCCTCTACCGTGGCACAGGAGAGAATTTCGTTCCCTCTTTGTCTATTTTTGTCATTTAGAATTAGTGCGATAGCTTTCGGTTACCTGAAAAAAGTCAACGACAAAACATAAAGCGAAATTTTGGTGAATTTCGATATACCGAATTAGTTTTTGCGTATCTATATACTTTAATTAGATTGCAAAATGGAGAAGAGATGTATCGGATGCTTTGAAAAAGATTTAGAGCGTTAAAACGTGCATTTTACATGTACAGTTATTCGAAAGGATGCCCCCACACAGCACGCACTGAATTAACGTTAGCTAAAAATGTATCATCTTTTGAAAAATATTGATTTTAGCCAACGTAAAAAAATAAACATCTAAGACGTAATTTTTGCAATAAATACCAAGTTTGCACATTTCGTTCGTTTATCTAAACATGAAAAATCGCTTAAATAATTATTAATGTTGTATAAAATTGCGTTTGAAAATGGAACATTGTTTAGAGTGCAAATTTTTTATTCATAATTTGCCTTAAATAAATCTAGCAATTTCACATAAAAACGAACATATACAAGTTTAATTATCCTGATATTTTCAAATGGAACGTATTAACAGAAATACATACAATGACAATGTTGTTTTTCCCAGTTCTATAAATCAAGCCTACGTTTCGAGACATTCAAAAGTGGATTAACCAGTTACCAAGCAGAGTTGTGCAATAGCCAGCTGGGTCGTCCGGCTATTCTCCAAGTCGTTACGCTCTTATTGCTACGGCTTAGCCGTACGTATCTTGAAAGGCAAATGTGAAAGTCTTCTCCACACGAAGAAACATACGACGCGTCCTAGAAAATACTTCGCTTCTTATTTCTTTATAAATGTTATTAAAGATTCGCATCTCAATTTTTATATTTAATTTTTTTTTAATGCATCTACGATCTTATTCTTGGTTCCATAAAATATCGATATCACAAATTTTCTAAACAAAATAAGCGATTTATAAAAAAAAGTTTCACTTATTATGAAAACTGCCTCTTCTTTAAGTATCTTATATAATATAAAAATTTATCTTTTTTCTTCGTTGCGATATCTGTGCTTGGGCATCCTAACATCCAGTACAATCTTGAATCTAACGATCAAGAGAATTATTAAAAAATTATTTATTTGACAAACCCACATGCGATAGTCTCAAAATTATGTAGCCGATCAGGCAAACGCAAGCCAGGCAATTAGAGATATATTCTCTAATACAGAAACTATATTTTGCGTTACATATTTTTTAATATTAGTTTGTTAATCTAATTAGTTTGTTATTCTAATATATAATTTATTAAAAATATTAATATATAAGTAATATATTAATTATTCAGGGTGTCCCGAAAAAAAGCAATTTCTTACAAATTAGGTGGAAATAACTATAAGTTTCTGTAAATTTCTTTCTCACATAATTATATCGAGATATTAATCTTTAAAGTTAAAATTTAAAAAACATTTTTTTTAAATAACTTTTATATTATTCTCCAGATACTATAATAATTAGTAATAATTATTTCCATCTGAGGTAAAGATTCTTAAAATAATGTAAGATTTCTTGATATTACATCGGCTTTTACACAGGCTCGATGTAATATCAAAACAGCCTTAGCCCTAAGGGAATTAGAGGTTTTAAGATTTTTAAGTCATTTAATCATTAAAACTTTGAAACATTTTAAAAATCTTTACCTAATATAATAATTACTTATCAACATCTGGAAGACAATATAAAAATTATTTGAGCAAGATATTTTTCAAAAAATCTTAACTTTAAAAACGAGTATCTCGGCAATGATATATAGAAAAAAATTTATAGAAATTTAGTTATTTTTATTTAATCTGCGTAGGAGCATTCTTTTTTCAAGACACCTTGTATTGCGAGAGTGCAATCGAAACAGCAAGCAATAGTAATAGTAACTTCTGATTTTCATTTGGAGAGAATGCTTTTATGTAATTCATCACTAGATATGAATATATCTCTCGATGCTTCTTTACTGAATAATCATTCATGTATTATCAGTGACATATATAGGATGTCTTCGTTCACTATATCATGAACATATATTCCGATAATTTTGTAAACAATATTCTTTGAAATCAATATTATAGAACACTACTTTTTGGAGGTTGTCATTTTTTTAAATACCTTTATGACATATCTTTAAATTATATTAAAAAAGTAGATCTATTATCTACTTGCATCTCCAAAGGTAAATCCACAAAAATAAGTAATATTATTTTTCAGTTGCTTGTAACTCGAATAATTATATATAAGAAATATATTATTAAAGAATAATATAAACGAGACATCCTGTATACGAAATGTACACATTGAGAATTCTTTCCAAATGACAAAGAGTCCCTCCATCTTCTCCAATCTCCATTTGTATCTTCAATTAACATAATTAATTAAAGTACCATGCCACGGTATTGCGACACCACCTTCCTACCAAAATTAAGCTTCCATTCAACTAACGCGTACCGATGCGTAAAAACATGATCTAGCGTTTACACAAGCACAACACAAATTGCAATCTTAAAATCGGCTTTATCACGCATTGATGAAATCGTGAAATTCGATAAGAGTTGTGAAAATGTAGTGATGAAATTGAAAAATGGAGCTTACACCATTATTAATAGATTACAGATTTTCGTACTTATTATAGCCATTGGAGTTTAATATACAAATATAAGTAGAATCGAAAACAGGCTTAGAATGCAATTTTCCCCCAAATGTGCAATGTTCATGCAACCGAAAACGAGAGTGTAACAGGCTCGAGAGTGTAACTTTTCACCGATACGAATTCTGTGAAGTGATTGTAAAATAAGTCACTAAAAATTTGCAGCGTTTATCTTAACTAATCTCTGAGCATCGAGCATGTAACTTTTCCCCTTGGAAGAAGGGAAACGTGAAAAGTGAAAATACCGACGACACACTTAAAAAATCTTTAATAATCATTAAAATATCTTTAATAATCTTGTTGGTGTTTTCACTTTTCACGTTTTCGCCCTAAAGAAAAAGTTATGTGATTGATATCCTGAAGTCGATCTTTCTTTTTTTCACAACTTTTTAATTGGCGTTTTCGCATCTCACTTTTTAATTAAAAAACTAAACAAAGAAAAAAATCTAAATTTTATTTGAAAAAAAAAAAAAAAAGATATACGGAAATGTCCAAATTTTATTATATATTTCTACTTTTAAAATAAAAGAAATGTAAAGCTTATTAGTAGAGATATAAGGACAACCGCCAAGGAGCAAAATAAAGAGATAAAAATACGTATTAATAAATAACGTATTCTCTAATAATTTAGAAAAGAATTATAAGAAATTCTTATTTTTAAAAATTTGTAGTTCTAAGACTATCGAAAAGAAAAAACTCAAATCCAAATTGATCGAAGAAAATTGCAAAATTCAGCGACCTACTTTAAGCATCATTCCAAATATATGAGGATAAAGAAAATCTTGCATGTCATCCGTTTCTAATGTCAAAAATTTTCTATTATCTACATCACACTAACACGACTGAAATAACTAACGTTCGTGGAAATATAGCTAATTGTCTGTGCAAGCTTACGTATTCTTCATAAACGTCCGCGGATTTCATTGTCACAGTAGAGCAAGTTACACCCAGTCGTTTAGCGGATTTAGTCGTTCTATATCGTGTAGCAACTCACTTGGACTTGGGCTGCATTTCTCCTGCAGCAGCTAGTAGCGTATCCCTACGGTGCAACCGCATGCTGACCCTTCGCTCCTGTCCACCCGCACCCGATGCTGAAAGAGAGCATCAGAAAAAACATAATGCATGAAAAATCGCAAAGGAAATTCAGCCAACATTCGTGTTCTACGTGTGTTCTTTCGTATCGTCAAACTCGCTGCCACCCTGCCTGTTTTCGTATAGAAACTCGCTTTTATGGTTTACGTATTTTTATATGTATTATATGTATATACAAAATTTTGTGCGTATATTATATATGTAGTATATATAATGTATACACACGAAAAACTTCCTACCGCCTCTCGACACACACAGCAGGGTTTATTACACAAATCCAAAAGCAGTCATAAGGGAGTAGCAATGTTTGCTTAAAACAATTTCTCAAAAAGAAAAAAAAAATTTCAAAACTCGGCTCTCTTATAAACTCGCCGAACAACATTTCGGTCAGTACATTCAATCGTGCAAGTAACTGATCGCCGAAGAGAGAGAGAAAAAAAAACAGGAGGTAGGAAGAAGAAAACAGAGTCGTAGACAGAGAAGAGCACTCGTTACATTGCAAAGCACACGTTCTTCACAGTATGTAGTGTATGTTATACCCACCATATGTCAACCTGCAACCTAAGATTATTTTCGAGAGACGACATAATTTGTATATCTAAAAAATCGTAACTCGACCTAAACGAGTGTGCATTTGAGCCCGAAATAATATCGCCGCAGTATAAAATTACAATCATTTGGCTATTTAATTTTTCATTATCAATTTAGATATTCCGTATCTGTTTGTATTTATACGCATAGAAGTTTAAATACATTTAATATAACTAATGATGGTAATGAAAATAATAATATATAAACTTAGATTTCATAAATTAAAATGTAGGTACTATTCTACAACAGATAAATTCACGTCAGACTGACAAAATCCGACATACTTCTAAACTACCGTTGCAATTGTTTCTTTCTTACTAAACTTGCAATATACATTTTTAAAAGTTTTTGGCGTACGTTTGTTTTAATTGTAAAATAACGAAATTTTACAATTTTTTACTTATCTAAAATTTTCGTTAAGTATTAAGTAGGAATACATTATTTTAAATTTTACTAATCTCATCGTTTTAAATTAGTGCGATGCAATTTTTCGAAATAACAAATAATAATGAACGAAATAAGGTAAACTTCAAGGATCGAATCTTATTTTTAATCGTATGTAGGATATATTTCGTCTGGTGATGCGTCATATTCGTGTTCCAAGAATGCCATACGATTAAAAATGACTCGACATCAATTGGGTGACGCGGGAAACGAAGGGTGATCTTTCACGCTTGGCAATTGAAATGGAAAAATTAATAATTATTACAACAAATAAAAAGAAGAAAAATAACCGAACGAATGTGAACATCGGTGTTTAGAAAAAAAAAAAAAAAAAAAAAGTTAATCAAAAATAAGGAAATGGCCCGCTTTCGTGAAGACAGATGATGCGACAAATCTAAAAATTAGATGAAAAGTGGATTTTCTTCCCTCTTTTCTTTTTTTCTTTCGCCAACATATTTCAAGAATCTTCGAGAGTTATTCGCGCTTGGGTTTTTCCATTCAAGCCAAGTGAGAAATAATTTTGACAAGGATAATCGACAATGTCGTGTGGTGAGATAAATAAAAAGAGACCAGTCCTTGAATGGAAAAACATTTATTTGCTACCTTTTCTTCATTATCATCATCATCATCGTCATGATCATCATCATCATCATCATCCTCATCCTCATCATTCTCATCATCCTCATTCTTATCATCATTATTATTATTATCAATAAAAAACAGGCTGATTATAGATAGGTATACGATATGAAGACATGCTAGACGAGCGAAGAAAAATAGGGAGAATGGACGATAAAGACGACGTCCGTGGTGATCTAGTGCGTAGGAAGAAGTTGGCAGTGTCGCGCGTTGCGAGATATTAATAACGATAAATCTCATTCGATTGTTCCGCCTAATGAGAACCAAAGTTTCCCTCCGAGACATTACAAACATCATGGATAAGTAGCAAACTAGACTTTATCTTCCCTATCTAAGCTTTGGTAACTTTTTCAGACTCTCAGAGTCTCTAGACGCTCCCTTGTGGCATACATATGATATGTGGGGGGCATTTAATTAAACAAAAAAGAAAAGTCAGGCTACTGTGAATTGTGAAAGCTCATCGAGCCGTCAACCGTCAGACTACTTCTTCCATTTCACCAGAACGTACCGTTAAAGACGTATTAAAGACTAATACGTACGCTTAATTAATTACTGAATAAAACACGTTGATCGAAGCTTGACAATCGTTGCAGGATACAATTGATCGAATGATGAAAATGTCAATGACTAAAATAAAGGAACACAACATCGTTTTCTTTTTAAATGCTAATTATAATTAACAACGCGAAGCAAAAACAAGTGGCGCGATGATTTTTGTTAACGATTATCGAACGCAGTACGTTTTCATGCTTATTCTCCTACAAACTGTGGAGAACATTTTAACGCTCCATATTTGGAAATTTGATGATTAACGATAGCAACAAATCGCAAAGATTCAATTTTTGAATACAATAAAAAAAAAATCAGTCATGATACCTCTAATCAAGTATGAAAATAATCAACAGTCTTTAGATCATTTTTCATTGCTTGTATAGTGAGGTTATGCATATGTATAAAACTATATATATATACATACAGATCGGAAGAGC